CCCCAAAACCCCAAAACCCCAAAACCCCGATATATCGAAACTTCAAAATAATTGATAATGATTGATAGAAATACAAATTATTGCGAATAATGATTGATGATAGGGTAGAGTTAAGATCATGATCAGGGTGCGAAGATGTCCTCATCATGAAGCCAGCTTGTAATCATTCCAGTGACTTCAACTCTCTTCCACTAAGGAGCCATATGACCTGCTCCATGGATTGTTACAAAGTCCATTCCATTATATCTAGTAACATATCCAGCAACTTGATTATCAACTAAGAATGCGGTTGTCTTTTTCTTAATATCCATCTTAAGACCAGCGATCCATCTTCTTGTTCCAAGAGTTGGAACAGCTCCATCAGTATCACCTGAGAAGAATAGAATCTTGTATCCATATTGCTTCATAATCTTATAAATCCATTCTGAACCTTCATATTAGTAATGATAGTAGAGCTAGGCAGTATCTGAGCATTGGGACCATGCTTAGATGTGCTATGGGATATGAAGTGCATCTCTAACATCTGGTCTATTAACATATTCAGTTAAGTAAGCTCCAAGGAGTGGATGATTAGGGCTTTCTTATACATGCTTTGCCCATGGAGTGTACTCACTCATGGTCATGCCTACCTTGTATTCCTTTTCCTCTCCATTAATATTAACTGATTAAAGTCTGTTTGATCCCTTAAGAAGAGGCTTTCTACCGTCTTCGAATGTCCTTGCAAGAAGTCCACCATCTGGATAAACTCTTCTATATAGATCATACCAGTTCAAACCTGCAGCCATCTAGTTAATCTAGTCCCAAGTATCGTTGCAATCTTTAGTGTTGGGGAATTTCTTAACATCATTGAAGTAATAATGGCAATTTCCATTTTGGAATTTGTCTAGTAAGTCCTAGCTAATAATGTTAAAGTTTCTAACGACCTCTGGGAAGGCAGGTGAGATGTCGAGATCCCAGTTAGTGGCTCCATTACCAACAATATATCCCTTAAGGTTGTATCTGGTTCTAGTGGGATGGAACTCTTGCATTTTGTTCCATGAATGAATTTGCCATGCAAGATAAGGAACATAAATGCCTCCATAACTTTCTCCTGAGATATATAAGTCATTGGTTAAGAACTCTGGGAATCCATTGAAAAAGTCTTGAAGTGCAGCGAAGGCATCTTGAGATACTCTCATATCATTGGTATTTTGATCTTGGGTAGAGTTGGCCCATGAGAATCCTACTCCTGCTGGACTTTCAATGTAAAGTACATTAGCTCTCTTGTTCCATGGCTCAGGGTTAGTTTTAAGTGAGTATTCACCGTCGTCAATAACGAAAGGCCCATGCTCTTAGAAAAGAGCAAGAAGAGATGAACATCCTGGCCCTCCATTGAACCAGACAACAAGTGGATCAGTTGCTGGATTATCTAGAGATGAAACTAGTACGTAATGCAAAGCCTTGGTTTAGCTGACTGCTAGGTAGCCACTGAACCAATCAGAGTTAAGTCTATCACAATCTGGCAGATCAGTCACGTAATCTGGAGCTCTTAGTGCACTAACGCAAGCTGTTAGCCCAAGAAGTGCTAACATTGAATTTATCTTTCTCATATATGCAATATATTATTTATATAATTTATTATATCATAAAATATATAGAAAGGTAATAATATCCTTGTACAATTATTATATATTCACATTTCATCTATCATTAAAAGAATACGAATCTGTATTCTTGGGGTTTTGGGGTTTTGGGGTTTTGGGG